TCCTCGTCCGGTAGTTGACTTGACCATCGGAGTACAAACGGTCGCCGAACCTTTTTCTTGACCAGCGGCCTTTACCTCCTAACGGGGTGTTCAGTGTGCAGGTGATGTCCACGTGGAGGGGACGTGGCGGGGATTCTGTTGAGCTCATTTTTTGGGGTAAACAATACCCATGCATTAGATAATGGTTTCAATATGATTGATTTATATAAGTTGATAATAAGGTACATTAAATACGAGCATATTCAAAAAACTAATAAATATAATTCAAAACAGATGAAAATAGAAATCAAGTCTATCTTTATGAGATGTAGGAGTATAATTTAAACACGATTTAAATTATAAATATATAGAAATGTGGGGATAGAAAAACGAGTATTACTTGTGAGTATTTCGAAATTTGTGAATGAATATGACTTGAATATTTAAAAATAATTTATAAACATGAGTCAAACATAGATTAAAAGGGACGTGACGGTTGGAAAAAGACGTTAACAGCAATTTCACATTAAAAACACAATCAAATATCATAAAGTCCATTTGCATTAACTAAATAATAAAATCCCTAAAAGTCCACAAAACACGCTCTCTTGCCAAGTTTCATAAACTAAAAAGCCAAGTAGAAAACGTGATTTCAACGGGGGAGAAATTTTACGGCAATTGCCTCTAAGATACGGCGCCTTTTCTAGAAAAAGAAGAATTTTCTTTTTGCAATTTCCGGTTTCTTTAACCCTTTTTAATGCAAATTCCTTGAAAAATGCAAGAATTGTTGCATAATTTACAAAACCTTTTAATATAAATATATTTATTGCGTAGAAAATTGTAACGGTCGTCTCATAAGATTTTCAAAATTTCCTAGCAAACGAAAAAATGTCTTATTTTATTGGGGAAAAGGAATATTGTTAATAATTAATACTATGTGATCCATTGCTTGCAGGGTGCACGACTCCCAAAAAAATAATGCTATTTATCTCTTATCATCGGGACGGTTGTTAGTTTGTGTATAAGGTGTTTTATCATGAATGTATAGATATGAAATTCACTATATTAATGCATTACTCCTTGCGAAATGAAAGATGCGTGCCAGCAAATTTGCACAAAGTTTAGGCATTCAACTAGTAGGATGACGGTAGGTGTGGTTGGGAGCAACGATTAACGAGTATTAAGGTTGTTACATTCGACCAAATTGATTAATATAAATCAAAGTGAGTCGAAAATAAATGACGAACTTGACAGTAGAAAAATTATCTGAAAACTTCTATTTATCGAGGATTTGAAAAGCTAATTCCACTGTAGGAATTAGCTTAAGATAAATTGGTACGAATGATTTGTAAAGTCGTCTTAGTAGTTATTACGTAGCAATTTAATGAAATTCATAGGCCTCGAAATTATATAAATGATTAACTTCGTAATCAATTTTCTATATAGTTTAAAACATATTAGATAGAAATTAGAATTAGACCAAATTGTGGATAATTTTAGTTAATGTCCATAAAAATCTAAATTTTACACAAAATATTTCTTTTCATTTATATATAACACTTCAAACAAAGTTGGATTAATATTCCCCCATAATGAAATTCCTTCACAGCCTTCCAAAACCAAAAAAGAAAAGAAACCCCGGGGACCAGCAAATGATAATTTAATTTTTTTTTTGTTTTTTTTCAGACAAGAAATTTTGGGAAAAACATCATTGCTGTTCCATCATACGACTGAAGTCCTCGAAGCAGACGAACCCATCTCCATTCACGTCCACCCCTCTTATCATGCGCCGGCAGTCCTCTAATGTGCATCGTGCGTCTCCTATTGTTCTGAAAACGTTGAAAAGCTCCTCCGCCGTTATTTTTCCATCACCGTTAGAGTCAAAGAAATCAAACGTGTCCCTGAGCTCCGTGTCGCAAGACGGTGGGCCGAAAGCCGATTCGATAGCTTGAAACTCCTCCAAGCTTATACAGCCATCCCCGTCCGTATCCACATCGCTCAGCATCATCTTCAGCTCCTCCTGACTCGGCGGCTCGGGACCCACTCGACTGAGCAGCTCCTGCAATTCCTCCTTCCTTATCTTCCCGTTGCCATCTCTGTTAAATCACGAAAAATTGGAGTATTGGACTATTTGTTCCAAGTTTTATCAATAACGACTCGATAAGCTTACACTACGAGCAATCAAATTTAAAATTATTGTTCTAATAGCTTATAAGGTATTTACCTGTCTATCATTTCGAACGCTTGTTTAAGTTCAAAGTACACAACGGGCAGTACACTAGTCGGCGTGGCTGAGCCGTTGGGCTTCTTGAAGCCGGCTTGAGAATCATCCTCCTCCGACATGGTTTGGGAGCTGAAGGATGAAGATGGATCCGTTTCGGATCTAGAAATGGAGCGTGACTTCTTGGACTTGAAGAGGTTTCTGGGGATAATTTTGTCGAGTTTCATGGTGGGAAAAAAATATCCGAGAAAGGAGAAGAGAGATAGAAATGGGGTTGGAGTGGAAAGTGAGAAGAAGCAGGGAGGGGGTTAAATGGATGAAGAGGATGAACTGCCATAGTGAGCTTCCAGGAAGTTTCTTTCCTTGTAGAAAGAGAAATTTTGGTTTGGATTGGAATGCATGAAAATATGGTGTTTCCCCACCATTACTCCATTAATTATTATTAATTAAGCTGTCATGGTAGAGCATGCTTTTCGCAATTTTTTTTAGGACAATTCTTGTGGTACATTATGGGATTCATAAGGATTTACATAATGGATACTTTGCGACCTACAATTGGTTGGAGTGCCAGTCCCACAGGCACTCCCACCAATTGTAGGCCGCAATGTGTCCATTATGGATCCCTTTATGTACCACAAGAATTTTCCNTAGGGCTATGAATTCCCACTGGGGATGAAAACACAGTTTACGTGGCGTTAATGTGTCATTAAATGATAGGTGAAATTAAATAAGTCATTTAATTTCACCTTTCATTTAACCTATCATTTAAAGCCATATAGACTGTGTTTTCATCCCCACTGGGGATGAATAGCATTACTCTTTTTTTAAAGGATAAAAGACGTAGATCACGCGCCTGTTTGGTTTGTAGCAAAAATATTAATAAAAATTTAAGTTGAAATCGATAATTAATTATAATCGTATATTTTATAGGATTCACTAACTTTCGATTCATATATTTTTATCGATTTTTACTAAAAATATGATTTTTAGTTATAGAAAATAGAGGATTTTAAGAACCCCGCTTGGAGTATAGAATTTTTTTTTACAGTTGTTGTACAAACAACACACATGGTGGGTCCGCACAATTTTTTTTAATACTTGTGGGGCCGCCACCTTGTGAGGGGCCTGTAAGGCCCTTGTGTTCGGATTTTAAAAATTGTATTGTTGAATCAAATATTGTTGCAATTTTTTAGAAGTCTTAACTTTGAGGGGTTGCTCTATTGGTCAGGTTTTAGATTTGCTCCCCAATGGTCACCAGTTCGAGTTCCCTTAGGGTCACTGAGGTGAGTATCCGACCGTAAACTTCAGGGTCCCGTGGAATTAGTCGAGGTGCGTGCAAACTGGCCGGACATCCACAGTTATTAAAAAAATGTAATTTTTTAGAAGTCTCGGGATGTTCAAAATTTGAATATTTTTTTATCGATTTTAAAAAAATTCTTACATTATTAACTATTAAGTAGAAAGTATGAATACAAAAATTCATAATCTATGTCATTCACCCAAGGAGTTTGAAAGACTTTCAGAGAAAAAATAATTGTATTTCTCTTATAAATATTTCACTTTCCATTTTATGAATCTTAGATCCATTATTTTAAAAAAAAATCAATATTTTTTTCTCTTTTCCAATTTTTCTATGGAAAAAAATCAATTTATAATTTAAATTTAACAAAAAAAAGAATAAATATTTAAAAATGTATATATTGATTAGTTTTTTAATTACTGAAATCTTATAATTTATTTTTTGATTTTTTATTATTTGTTTATCTAATTGAGGTGACATGGAAAATATAATTTTGTTGAGATGTGGATCATTACACAATTAGCGGTTCAAAATAGTATTTAATTGTACCGAATTAAATTTAATAAATAAGGATGTACAATACCTTATATAGGCACATAACATTATATATATACTTTATTTTTTCATAATAAAAGTCTTTAAAAGTCTATAATGAAAATCTACACAAAATTTTCGAAAGATTTTCATTATTTCTGTACAAATATATAAAAGTCAATAAAAATTCACGAATTTTTCAATAATCCATCACTTAAAATATCCTTTAAAAATTTATATTAAATGCAATACGAATTGTATATATGAGAAATTATTTTTCGATTGACATCAAATTAAAGTTTGGTAACACGAATATAGTTGTTACGTGTATAGGGGATTTTGCCCGGATTTATACATGGGGACCCTTGCCAATTTTTCATTGGCAGTTGGCAAAAAGAAAAACTATCAATCAGGTGCATCAGCACAATACCTATACACTGGGCAAATAATACTCTGTACAAGGGAAATAAGTGTAACACATATGAACACGATTGATACTTTGAAAGTGGAGAATTCTATTAATGTTAAGAGAAAATGTCCCGCAAATCCATTCGATCAAGACTCAACACCACCAATCTATTTCTTAGTATTTCCTCTCTCGACCTTGCTACATTTACACTTTGGGTGTACACTTTGTCACGTGGCATTTTTCAATTGGACAATTTAAACTTTAAACAGTTTCTTCATCGAATTATCACTTGACAATAATATAAGTGTCAACCAAAGTGTATAAACTCAGTATACAAATAGCAAAGTCCTTCTTCTCTAGGCCTCGAGAACGTGTGCCAATTTTTTTGTACATTTATAAATGGAAATAAGTTCAGTCATGATTGGCCTCATTTCTCAATTTTTTTTCACACTTAATTTTTATTTTATGAATTTCACAACTTTTATCGATATTCCAACAATACATTTAATTAACTTTTATAATAATTTATTAAAAATCTAATTTTTAGTCAAATCAAATAGTAATCATTTTCCCATGCATCATAATGAAGGGGTTGTTCTGTCCTTTTCTTCCGAGCGGTTGGTGAAATAGAATGAAAGAAGTCAACAAGTTCCGTGTACCATAAATTATTCATACCTTGTTTCAGTCATATTAAAATTTTCATTCTTCTACTAATTTTCAACGACACATTTTTCAATAAAATAATATTTTTCATCACATTAATAATTTTTCCTTCTTTTTTAACCACACATTCTCCATCATTCTACCATTCCAAAATACATTCTTCCAAAATAATGTGGTTCAAACACACCCTCAATTTTGGGTTCACAAAAATCGAAATTTGCAGGGGAAAAAAAAAGAAGTTAGATTTTTAACGACGACCTATTGGATGTAGATTTTTTTTATTACGTAAAGTGATATTTTTGAAGATTAAAATGTAGGAAAAATTACGAATTCACGTGCAAAATTATCTTATAAAGAAAATATAAAGTTAAAAATTTATTCAATTAAAAATTAATTTTAAAGAATCTGTACCAAATAATTCTTATTATATTTCTCTATATGTTTGTTGAAGTAAAATGCACAAGGGTTACCAGTGTCAATCGTTAGAAAATGGTAGGTTTGGGTTGTTAATCATTTCCAATTATTGGCAGACAAATATTATTGGTGAAATAAAAAAAGAAATATAAAACTTTATTTTATTTTATTTTTTTTGGGTTCACTGCATCAAATCTGCATATTGGATCGCTTCATCTCTCGTCTGCCCAGTAACCGCCCAATAGTTATGATTCGAATTTCTTAACACAAGATAATATTAAAAGAAATTAAAATCGTATTTATTTATAATATATAATTTTTTGGTACTGTGCATCGTGTTACAGACACTCCATGCCAAACTGTGTTGACTAGGGGTAACACACAACGTGCCAATACCACTGGACCACAATAAAAAGGACATGCAATTGATGTTGGAGTCTTTATTGTCCATTCCTTTTTCCCTATCTGGGATTCACCTCCAATCAATTATTGTTCATTATTGAAATTTAAGTGTCACATAGTTTCACAATATCTCGTCACATGCAATATTTTTTAATTAATCGATATGGGAATTATTCTTAACATGTTTGGATGCTCTTTTGAGCTTAACGGACCATGACATATAGGAATAATTTAAACTCTTATATTTTGCGTATTTATTACACGACGCAAGATTTATCCCTTACGATTTCTGTGGGGCGGGGGAGGTTTACAGTCGTGAAATAATTTTTTGCTTATTTACAAGTGAACAAGAGTGTTATATATACATTTTTACCTCAGCCTGCCACTTACATCCTGCTAAACAATGGCAATACAAGATAATTTATTTGCATACAAGCAAAAATATTATTAAATGCTTCCATAATCTACAATATGCTTATCACAACCATCATGTAACCGCGAATTATCATCAGGGTCATAAGCAGATTCAACTTCATCTATGTGAGTTTCTTCGCTATCGTCGTCACCATATTCCGATACTGAGGTAGCATCGGTTTCTCTTTCAGGAGAATCAAGTCGCACAAAATCGGGGACTAACTCCTGCGGAGAGCTATTGTTTTCCGAATCATGACTCCTGTTTGATGGAGTTAAGGCTTCCTTCCTGACGACGTTGAACACTATACCGTTTTCTATTCTTTCCGGCTGCAAAAAGTCACCTTCAGACACCATAACACTCGAGGCTTGATGAATTTGATCCCTGCCAACCACTGGGATTACAAGATTGTTTAGGTGACCCATCATTCCTTTATTCATTCTGGAATCGATCTCCAGATTTTGCACAAAGTCGATGAATTTGTCAGCTGAAGTCGTCCTCATCAAGGGACCACCAGATCTGGTCCACGAGTTGTGATCAACATGCTCTGATTCACCATCACTTCCATCGTGTGTGTTCTGGTGTGTTCCCAAGTTTCGGCTAGCATGCCCAGTAGACCCACCAATTGTTTGCTGAGAAGACGGTGCAACATCTGCAAGTAGAGCTTCTTCCAGGGAACCTGTCGAGTTCTCTCTTGCAATGACATTCCAAGATGGAATCCTTTTGGAGGCATTGAATCTGACTGTGCTCGACAGACCATGAGAAGCAGCAACTGCTCTCTCGGCACTCCTCTTTAATCTACGCATGTGATTGAGCATTGCCACACACTTATCAAGAGCAAGTTCGATTCCACAATTTGCTTTTATGGCCGAGAACTTCTCCCACGTGCATCTTCTGCCTTGGTTTGCTGCCTTCTGAAGCTCCAAATAAGATGGATTTTGTATGATTTTTGAGTACTGAAATTGCAAACAAAGAATTGGATAAGGAATTACCCATCAAGACATCAAATCTTATCCCAGATAGGAAGACAAAATACAATAAACGTGAATTTTTATTATTCTATTGACCTGTTTAGAACTGTTCACTCAAGATG